GGGGCCCATCAGCCAATTCTGGGGAGGTGTGTCTGGCTGCCAGCATCTTCCTCTTCCCTCCTCTGGTCCTAGTACAGGCTGGAAGGGGGCAGGAGGGACCCCAAGTGCCCCCATTCAGGCACCCATCCTTAGCAGGTCGGGGTGAAAGCTGAGACAGGCAGCGGCTCTGTGCTGAGCGGGCTCGGCGGGTGCACCAGTGTCTGGTTGCCAGCGCGAGCGGAGCCCCTGCATATGCCTCTCGGCACACGGTTTCATTTCCATTCTCCACGCTTGTAATTGGGCTCATGCAACAGCCGGCTCTCGGGATGCTAATGACATGCTGATTCGCAAATTAGGGAGCAATTCGAGCCTGGCGCTGACTGGGTGCAGGCAGACGCGGTCCCACATCTCACCCCATCATGGGCTCCTGCATCCCACCCCACTGTGGAGTCCTGTATCCCAACCCACCACAGGATCCTGCATCCCACCCTTCCCTGGGTTCTGCATCCCACCTCACTGCAGAATACTGCCTCCCACCCCGCCACAGGATCCTGCATTCCACCCCACTGTTAGCTCCTGCATCTGACCCCGCCATGGGGTCCTGCATCCCACCCCGCTGCGGGGCCCATGGCCAACACTCCCCCAAGCCCTCCCTGCTCCATCCAACATCCCCCAGCACAGATACCCACGTCTTTGCCACGGATCTGGTCCTCGGTGAGCTGCACCTCGATGAGGGGCCGCACAGTGGTGAAGAGCTTCCACCACGGCCAATCCTTCACCCCTTTGTTCTTCTTGATGTTCTTCTGCACGCACCGGATGGCCAAATCCTGGATCTGTGCAGGGCACAGGGTCAGCACAGGGTACGGGGTCAGCACAGGGTGCTGCCAGCAGGGCAAAGTGGGGCGGGTGGGCGCTCAGCACCCCCACCAGCACCCCAGCATGCTCCCCTTCATTAGCATTTGGGCTAATTGCACCGGTGTATCTTCTGTTTGATCCTCTCCAGCCCCTCTAACTGCTAATCCCGGGAAGGCGAGGCGCTGCCGAGACGCCTATTTTACGCCTTCTTTAATGATAAAAGTAGGAGCCGATGCGTCGCTTCATCCTGCCGTGGCGATGCCCAGCAGCCTCCCTGCCGGCTCCCCCTGGCCCCCCGGTTCCCCCTGGCCCCCCACGGCTCCCGGGGAGGCGGGAGGAGGAGGTGCTGGCCCAGGAGGCGAAGAAAGACTGCTGCCCATTTTAGGCGAAATTGTGCAGCAGAGCGGGGAGGGGAGAGTTGCTGGGACGAACCTTTCTCTTCTTGAAGTGCTGCCGTGCCAGGAAGCCCCTGCACGCTGCCTGGAAGAGGGTGATGTTCCTGCTGGTTTGCGTGTCCCGCTGCTCCTCCAGCTTGGCCAGTGATCCAGCCCGGAAAAACACCTGTGGGAGGGGAGGGGGATGGGATGGCGATGGGTGCCGGCATCCCACCAGCCACGCCGTGCCACCCGCCTGCTGGTAGGGATGCAGCTCTCCCCTCCTGCCCCAGCCACTGGTCCTGTCCTGCCGTGGGGTTTTATTCCCCAGGCACAAGGAATGCCGGGGGTGGGAGCAAACAGTGATGCCCTTGTGCTGTCCCACCGTGCTGTGCCCAGCCATGACGCACACCCCTGCCCACACCCAGCGTCAGGCACCATACCCGGCTCAAGCCCATGTGGTAGCTGCTCTTCTCCAGGTCCAGCGACTCCAGGAGCTCCTCCACTGCCTGTGGGGAGGGAGGAGTGTCAGGACTGGGGTGGTGGCACCCTGGGGCGCAGGGGACCTTGGACCACACACTGGCCCTGACACAGGACACGCACCCGCTTCTCATCCACCACGATGTAGTTGCGCCCATGTTTCTTGGTCAGGTGTGGGGCCAGGACATCGAAGCGCCGCCTGAACTCCGCAAACACCATGTGGTCGGGGTAACCTGGGGGAGCAAGGGAGAGTGGGGCTGTGGGGACAGCCAGGATGCCTGGGGGATGGCCAGGGACAGCCTTGTGTGCCCTGACATGCTGAGGCCCAACTTCTGGGAGAGCTGACGGGGTCACCCCACGTGGAACAAGCTCCCCATGGGGCCAAACACAGCTGGAATGCCCTGAGCCTCCCCGGGAGGTTTTCCTTGGCTGGGTCCTCCAGCAATTTTGGCTGGGATCTAGGGAGAAAGTGGCCAGATCCCATCATGGGGGTAGAGCAGGGACACATGTGCTGCCTGCGCAAGTCCTGCTCCGGCTTCACTTTGAGCTGCAGCCAACTCCTGCATCAGGCTCCAGCACGGAGCCTTCACATCTTAATTAACGACGAGGTATTGATGGGAACTCTGACCCCAGCACGGCCGGCTGGCCACGGCCACCAATCCAGGAGGTGTGTGGGTGGCATCGATTTCCAATCACGGCAGGAAGGG